GTTTCACCCGGTGACGGTGCTAAGAATAACCGCGCAGCTGGCGGAGCCGGGGGCCGGGAACCGCCGCGAAACCGCCGCGGAGCAGCCGCGGAGCCGGGGCCCCCGCGCCGCCCGCCGGCACCGCGCCCGCCTTCTGAAGGGCACACGGCAGCCGCCTCACTCACCGTCCGGTGTCGCTGCTGCTGCTGTTGGCGGCGCCGGCCCAGCGCCGGGAAGCGGCCGGCGGCGGCGGTGAGCGCGGCGGGGCGAGCGGGGAGCGGCGGGGCGGGGCCAGCCGGCACCGCGGACCAATCACTGCGCTTCTCCGGCCGGCCCCGGGGCTCGCGCAGCCAATCGGAGCCGGTGGGCGGCCCGGAAAGCAGATTGGCCGGTGGGCGGGGCCTCGTTCGGGCCCGAGGGCAGGGAAACTCCTCGGCGGGGGTGCCGCGGGGCGGGGCCAAGGATGGGCGGGTCCGAGAGGGGGCGGGGCCATGGGTGGGCGAGGCTGGGAGTGGAAAGGGGGGCGCGGGGGGACCCCTAAGGGGGGACAGCCAGGGACGGGACAAGGGAGATGGGGAGCACCGGGAAAGGGGTGCAGGGAGGTGGGATGCACTAGGGAGCGGGTGCCGGGAGATGGGGAACTCCCCGGGAAGGGGAGATCACCAGGGAGGGGCTGCAGGAAGATGGGGTGCAGCAGAGATACCACTACTGATGGAGCGTAGGGGTGGCACGGGGATTTGGGGCGCTGGGTCAGACTGCCACCCCACCCAACAGCAGTTTCAGTGAAGGGTAAGAAAAGTATGTGATCAAACAATATCTGGATATACATATATATATATATGTATGTGTGTGTGTATATATATATATATGTAAGTATATGTATATATGTGTATATATGTGTATTGCAGACATGGTGGTTTGGGCTGCCAGCACAGACCTTACAGCACCTGGGCTCAATAAGCAATCTGTGCTCAGCTTTCTCTTGAAAGATGATGTACCTGGATTACTTTACTTAGAAAAGACTTTTTCCTCTGGCCTGGGAGTTACTACAACACCGATGGCAGCTCCTTCTTAATGCCTGTTATTTATCCCTCTGTGTTTCTAAAAATACGGAGAGGAGCACGACCAAGTCATGGGATGACACAGATGTGCTTCAGTATCACCCACACCATCACAACACTCCTTCTTCCATCCCCACCTCCCTCCAGGGCTGCCTTCCACAAGTCCTGATGGGTTGTTCTAAGCTTTCCTCCAAGCAATGTCATTTTGGAGTTTGTCCCTGAGAAACGCTCCACCTCAATCCTCATTTCTCATTGGATTTTTCCTGCAGGGATGAGCTTTCCCTTCTTTGTCTTTGTTGGTTGGGAAAAGAGGTTGAAGCCTCATCTGTGTCCTTTTGGAAGGATTTACCCACTGTCTTTCCAAATTCCCACATTTAGCATTTCAATGATTATTTGCATTTTCACGGAAAACCAAGGAGAAAAATTGCAGCAGCAGCTGCTCTTGAGCTTCATTGCTCAGACCTGACAGAGTCTTTGCTTGATCCCTGCTTGTTGTGTTTTGCTCTCCTGTCATGTTGAAAACTGATGGTGAAAGGAAAAATGCCTTCAAAAGGATTTCGAGTAGCACAGCCCTCAGTGATGACTCCACAGTGGAAGATGTTCCCACAGTCATCTCAGCAAAGGAGTCACCTCATGGACCACAGCCAGGGTTTCCCTCTCTGCGACATCAGCCTCTCCCTGGGACAGCTCCCAGCATCCCAGAACAGGGGGACTAAAATCCTAAAAATGGCAAAACTGTGCTTAATGCAGCCTGAGCGAGCTGGAAAAGAAAGATTAGAAAGGCAGGAAAGGGGCAGGAAGGAAGGCCCAGGATGGGGAAGGTCCCTTGGGGGCAGAGCCACCTCTTCTCCCCATGAACTACCCACCCCAAATCTTTTTGCCTGGGGGAGCACAGACACGTTTGGGATGAGCCTGTGCTCTCCTCCTCATGGGGTTTCCTACAGGGATCAGTGCCAGCAGCTCCAAGGGAGGACAGGGATGGGCACAGCAAGCAGACCCTGCCCCAGCTCTCTCCTATTCCCTACTCCACCAGCCATTCATACTCTGTATTTAGATATCTATTTATCATTAAAGAGGAACTGGGAATGACCCAAAGTAAAGTTTTTTGGCAGAGTTTACACGTTTCTAGGGAATATTTGACAGAGGTGGGGAAAGATGGGCTTGGAGCAAAGGCTGAGGGCAGCAGAAAGGCCAAAACTTCATTATCAAACCCGTGCTGAGTGTGTGGGCACTCACTACAAAGCACAAAAATGGGAATTATATGTGAGCCCTGGGATCGATACCCCAGGCAATTAAACGAGCCAGCAGGGAATGGCTCCCCAAGGTGCAAGGAGAGAGAGGGGTGAGAATATTGGCACCAAAATGAAACCCTGTCATTTCATGTCAAATAGCTCCTGCTAGAAGCATCTTCCACTCTTGGAAAACCTAAATAAAAAAATGTATTTAACAAGGCTTTCTCCCAGTGCTTATAATTACAGCTGGCTGAATATTGGAAAGCTGCTCCTGAGAAGAATGGCTGGAGAAAAGCACATCAGAGTTTACAATTAATATTATTGCAGTGGGAAAGTGGAAAACTTAAACTTCAAACCCTCATCAACCATCCTGACACTGCTGAGAGAGGCATGGATTGTTCCCTGCTGCAAATAAAACACTGATGTAAGAGAAAGTGAGTGTGGGATAAGCCATAGGCAAAGCCACTACTTTGGAAAAACTGCCCATGCCCCAAAGTGCTTGGATTAAATAAAGCAGCTAGGAAGAAAAAAAGCTAAATGATCTTTTAGTCCATAGATGTATCAATTTCTCTGTGTTATTTAAACTTTGGATTAGTCAGTTTTGCCCCTACAGATGTCCAGGGCTGTGAGACAGCAGAATCAGGCACCTGGAGCCTGATGCAAAATCCCGCAGGTGCATTAGGCATGGGTGGAGGAGGAAATTCAGGAGGATCCCAGGTCCAAGTGCTTTTTATCTCCTTTTATTCAGAAGAAAGGTTGGTGCTTCCAGGGTGCTGCAGATAAAACAGCACAGCCCTGAGACGGGGGGCAGAGTCTACTTGCCAATAAAGGAACGGTGTTGGCCACCTTCTGTAAGCTGAGCACTGCCCAGCTTCTCATGGAGCAATAGGATCAATTCCTAAAACAGGGGGAAATTCCCCAGGCTGGGCAGGATGGCGATCCCTGTCTCATCACAGCTCAGACCTGAGCTACCCAAAGATACCAGGGTTTGCTGGCTGCTTCTCCCACCCCTTTTTGGGATCTGGAGATGGCCAGACCTCAGCCACACAGAGACCTCTCTAATCCTCTGGGATCCTCTTAAGCCTCACCAAAAGGTTCATCCTAAAAATCCCTGCAGCGTTCCCACTTTGGGAGGGCAGTGTCAGGATTCAGCAGCCTCCTGGATTCCTCAAGAGCAATCACTGTCTATTTATGCCTCTGGAAAATGTGTTTTTTAATGGGGGGTACATTAAAGCCTGAGGAGAGCCAGCCCAAGAGGCATCTGGAAGCAACTAAAATTAAAATAGCTAAAATTAGCCTCCTCAGCAGTGAGTCCTCCCTCCGATCTGGATGCCGAGGTGCACATGACCCAGGCGTGCCTTTCTCACTTTCCCTTCCTGCTGCCATCCCATTCCTGGGCCACTGGGCAAGGCCACAGCTGCTACCACACCTACCCATGGCCCCGGAGAAGGAAGGAATTCCTCCCTCTGAGGGTGGGCAGGCCCTGGCACAGGGTGCCCAGAGCAGCTGTGGCCGCCCCTGGATCCCTGGCAGTGCCCAAGGCCGGGTTGGATGGGGCTTGGAGCAGCCTGGGATGGTGCAAGATGTCCCTGTCTACAGCAGAACAAAATGATCTTTAAGATCCCTTCCAACCCCTTAACATTCTATGATTATATGGATACATAAAAGCCCCTGAGACCCCATATACCTCTCTTTCAGGCCTTATACACAAGCCCTTCAGCCCTGCTAACCAGGACCTATAGAGACACCCCTTGTACAGTGCACACAAGCCTTTCAGGACCTGCACATAAACCCCTCAGACCCTACAGACAGGCCATGCAGGACCTATAAATATGCTCCTTGTACACTGTATACAGGCCTTGAAGGACCTACAGGTATGGGCCCCTGAGACCCTATATACAGACCTTTCAGAGCATATATATATATATATATATATATATATATATATTTATATATACCCCATAGATAGGCCCCTGAGACCCTACATACAGACCTTTCAGAGCATATATATATGTATATATATATATATCCCATAGATAGGCCCCCGAGACTCTATATACAGACCTTTCAGAATACATATAAATATAGACACATGTATATAGGCTCCTCAGATGCTATCTACAGGCCTTCCAGAGCCTCTGTCTACCTGTCTATCTATCTGGGCCCCTGACACACTACATACAGACCTCTCAGAACCTATAAATAGATATGGGCCCCTCAGAACCTATACACGGAGCCTCTATCTGTGTATCTGGGCCTCTAAGACCCTATATACAAAGCTTTCAGACTATCTATCTACCTATAGATAGGTGGGACCCTCAGACCTTATATACAGACCTCACAGAACCCATATATATATATATATATATATATATATATATATATACACACATACATATATATACACACACACATATATATATACATACATACATACACACACACACATATATATAGACCCCTGAGACCCTATATACAGGCCTTCAAGTATGTCTAAGCCCCTGAGGCCCCACACACTCTCTTTCAGGCCCTATACTCAATCCCCTCAGCCCTTATACACAGGACCCGCAGGAACACTCACCACACGCTGTATAAAAGCCTCTCTTGACCTACACAAAGAGGTTTCTGAACCCCTACACACGCACGGACTCCCCCAAAACCCGCGGCGACCCCGGCGCCCGGCAGGCGCCGAGGCCACGCCCACTACGATGTAACCACGCCCACCTCGTCACAGACCACGCCCCCGTTCCCCGTCCCCGGAAGCGCGCGCGGCGGGCGGGGCGGTGGCGGGGTTGAGGTGAGTGGGGTCCTGAGGGGGCCGGAGGTGGCGGAGAGGGGATGGCTCGGGAGTCCATGGTCTTGGGGCTGGTGGGAGCCTGAGCTGTAATGGATGCTAGAGCCCGGAACTGGGCGGGGGGGTTCCCAAGGCACGGGGAAGTTGAAGGCCCCGGAATATGGGGCCAGAGGTCTGAGGGGAGTCCCGGGGGCTGAGCAGGGTCCGGGGACTCAGGAGGAGTCGCAGGCCCCGGGAATAGCAGGGTCCTGCCTCCCGGAGCTGAGGGACTCCAAGGCCCCGGGAGTGAGAGGCCCTGGGTGCCGGAGCTAAGGGGTCCCAGGCCCCGGAGCTGGGACAGAGCTGCTGCCAGGGAAAACCAGCTTTTCCGGGACACACGGGGCTCGGGATTCCCTGTTCCTCTGGCTTCTCCATCCCGGCGTCCCGCAGTGACTCCGTGCCTTCCCCCGGGACATGACCCCGGGCAGCTCCCCCCGTGCGAGCCGCTGCCTCGGGGCCGCGTTCTTGCTGCGGTGCCCGGGCTGCGTGAGTTACCGCCGTGTGTTAGAGCTCGCGTCAAACCACTTCGTCTTGACAGAGGTTCCTTAAAGCTTTAACTCCGCCGAATGGCCCCAGCTGTGTTTGATGTGCAGTTTGTGTCGGAAAACCTTTAGGGTGAATTTGAGTTAATGTACTGCTCAGAGCACAGAAATGCCTGATGTTTAGCACAACATGATTTATGTGTTCTGTACTTGGCGGTAGTTTAATGAGCTGCTTGGGAAAGATGGTAAATCTGACTGTGCTTAGTGGGGTCTGGGGGGGTGGGAAGGTCAAATCAGGCAGGAATTTTGAAGGTTTCTCCTTTAGAATCATCATTGCCAGCTCGGGCTTGAGTTAAAGGCCTGGCTTATCTTTAATTCCTTTATTCAGCTGTTGACCATTTTCCTCCTCCTGGCTTTTTTTGGCTCAGTCTGAGATGCATTTCCTGAGGTCGATAGGTGTGAGCGCTGCAGGGCATGGCTGCCAGGAGAGAAACTGGGTGCAGCACAAAGTTATGATATTTATTATGTTTCTTTCTCATTTTTAGAACAGGCCCCAGCTGAGGAATACTTCCCTGTGTTCCCTGTGGCCTCTTGACCTGCAGACTGGGAGCAAATACAGTACAGGTGAGGATGGTGTTGCTGAGTGCTGGGCTGTGCAGCTCCCTGCTCTCAGGTGCTTTAACTGGTGAATTCATCATTTGGCTGATTAATATACCTTGTGTAGAATTATTCTTGTCCTTGAGCGTTCTCTTAGGGCTTTTCTCAAAGCTGTAAGAAAATGAGTTGCCTTTTTTTGCAGTGTACAGAGTTGTGCTGACATTCCTGGTGCAAGTTCTTGGGCACACTGAGCCCTGGAAGAAGTTTGTCTGCCTGGAGCTTTCTGTCAAGCCAACCTCAGCTGTTCCACCACTTTCATAAAATGTAAAAAAACTCTCAACACAAAAAAAAAAAAAAAACCACCTGAAGTGGTCTCTCAAAATGTGTTTGAACATTGGGAGGTATAAAAAAAGCCCCAACAAAAATATAACTAGAGCTAATAAAAGGTACTGAAACAATGTATTTATCCATCTGGAGCACCAGAGCATTTAATGGCTTCCCACTGCTGGAGGGCTGAGTTAGATGGGATAAAGGGAAGGAATTGTTCCCTGTGAGGGTGGGCTGTCCCTGGCACAGGGTGCCCAGAGCAGCTGTGGCTGTCCCTGGATCCCTGGCAGTGCCCAAGGCCTGGCTGGATGAGCCTTGGAGCCACCTGGGATGGTGCAAGGTGTTTACAGTGAATCTTAAGCTCATGTATTAGCTCAGCCCTCTTTATTTCCTTGTGGAAGTGGCTTGCTCTCCCAATGACCCATTTTCTGCAGCAACTTTTGTGGTATTCCTTAATGCTTTCCTGAACCAAGGAAGCTGAAATGCCATGCCCTGGAGGAAAAAGAATGGTGTGCCTTGATTCCATCATTACTGTCTGCCTGCTGGGGACCCTCTGGAGTGCCCTGTGTGTCACTTCCCCTGCAGGTTCCTGGCTAAGCTCATGGCAGAGTTTGAGAAGAGATGATCCCCTTGTCCTCAGGCTGCAAGACCTGCTGATCATTTGAAGCAGCAGCTCAGAAATGTTACTTTTTTCAGGTGGTAGTTGAGGGAGCCATCAGCTTGTTTAGATCTGGAATGTGGCAATAACCGTTTTTATTTGGTTGAGCAAAATAAGTTCTGTAGCAATCATATTAAGTTTGTTATAAAAACAAACTTAATTGTTTTGTGCTGTTGCAGTTGGTGCAGTAACACTTCCACAAGTGAGCTGGGATATGGAAATACTTGTTTTTTTCTTCCCAAGTTCCCAGTTGACATATTGGGGCCCAATATTTTAACTCAGCTCAGTGCAGGGGGGCTGAGGATGCTTGGGTACAACAATAAAAATAACCTTAATTTTATTAGTTCCAGGTGCTGTGATTTCCTGTCGGGATGCTGAAGGGGTGCCAGTGAAAAAGTGTCTTGGTGTAGGTGTGACTTTGGGTGGGATGGTGTAATTTGGGATAATTTAGCAGGAAACAGTTATTCAGGGTTTTTGGGTGTTGTACACCTTTGAGATGAATATTACCTTTCTTTTTTGAACTGAATTGCTCTAAGAAGAGCGTGGTACAAATGGTGTGGCTCCCTCTTAAACACAGAATCATGGAAAGGCTGTTAACAATCATTCAGTTCCACCCTTGCCATGGGTAGGAACATCTTCCATCATTCCATGTGGCTCCAAGCCCTGTCCAACCTGGCCTTGGGCACTGCCAGGGATGCAGGGGCAGCCACAGCTGCTCTGGGCACCCTGTGCCAGGGCCTGCCCACCCTGCCAGGGAACAATTCCTTCCCAATGTCCATCCATCCCTGCCCTCTGGCAGTGGGAAGCCATTCCCCCTTGTGTTTTTGCTCCATGTCCTTGTCCAAAATCATTCTGCAGCTCTTTTGTTGGTACTGAAAGGCTGAGGATGAATATTTATCTTTAGGGTGATGCATTTGACACTTCAAGTAAAAATTACACAGACTGATAGCAGAAAGTGAGTAGAGCCTAAGGCACTTTGTCTCCCTAAGCACACACCATCCAAAACCTGTGGCAGCCTCACCTCTTAGTTTTAGATTTAAGACACTTTAAAAGAGCAAAAACAGACTGTTAGATCATGAATTGTTTTACTGTGGCTTCTGTGGACTTACCTGAAAAGTCCTTGTGTAGTAAATCCTGGGTTCTGTTTGTCTCCTGCCCTGTCTGTGAGTGCAGTGACTTGTTTTTCCCCAGGGAAACTTGCTGTGGAGTTTGCTTCTGTGCATTCTGCATTTAACCTCTCTTGAGAGCAGCTTTTAATTGTAGTCCCACCATGTGAAGAGCTCCTTGTCTGTGGCTGTGGGGCAGGACAAGGTTGGAAGAACCAAAGCACTGGTGGTTGTAACTGGGAGTTTTGCTCTGAGGCTAGCACAAGGTTTGGGTTGGGGATTTTTTTCTGAGTCTCCAAGATCTTTCAAGCTGAAATTCCTAGTTGTTTCTCTTACTTTAGCTCTGTGACATGGAATCTGAGATCCTCATGTAGACAACAAGAAAGAAGGTCATGGTTTGAGAAGAGTTGCAGCTGACCTGTGCTTGAAACATGAGCCCTGGGAATCTGTGTGGCTCCAGAATTCGTGGCCTGTCTGTGGTGCAGACAAAGCTGCTGTGCTGACACACGCCAGCCCCAGTGTCTGTGAGGACCAGCTGTGCTCTGTAGCACCACTTGAATCTCTGTGCTTTCTTTTGTTTGGTGCGAACTTCTCGCCTCTGGCATTTTTGCCTCAGGAGCTAGAAGAGCAGTGGGGTTTTTGTCACAAAAATCCCAGTTGTACAGACCTAAGGTGTGCTGCCTGCCTGCCCACCTTGGATGGAGCCAAGTGCTTGCTGCTGGCTTTTTCCTGCTGAAACCCAGCTCTTCAGGCTGTGTTCTAAAAGCACAAGGCACTAGCCTGGCTTATCCATCTTCTTTTTTCCTCTCTGAAATTCCAAGCTATCCAACAATGTGTTGCTTGAATAGAAACTGCAGTGATTCAGATCTGCTTTTCCTTTTTGGGGGGAAAACAATGCTGTACTCTTTTCCTGATTTGCCAAATGATCTCCATCTGGTAGATGAAACACAGGTGCTTTTGTTTTTTGTTTGTTTCAGTAAGTTTTTAATTTAAATTTCTTTGTATAGAAAAGAAAGCCACCAAAGCATAACTCTTCGGCCAGGAAGAAGCATTTTCTTAAGGAGGATGTGGCTGTAGGTGATGTTTCTGTTTAAAAGGCAACTTCAGCCAGGGAGGAATTACCACATTGTGACATTCAGGTTCTTGGGGGGTTCACAAATCTTTTTCATCCTTGTCAGAGAGGAGTTCAGACTTCACCATATCAAATTCTGAGACAATCCTCTGTCTGTCACCCTTCAAAAAACCTTTGTCTCTTTCTGGAGCTGGAATTGTATCTGCACGTAACTCAAACCTGCCAAACTGCCACCTTGTCAGCCTAGGGAGGCTTTTGCTTTGTTCTAAGTTTTTCTTTTCCAGAATTAATTTTTATGCTTATTCATTAGGAGTTAACACTGGTTTTCTTGGAGCCAAATAAGCCATAAACATTTCTTGAATGTGACTACTCTGAGATACTTTTTGTTTCTTGTGAGGTACATGCAGGTGGATGACCGTTGGATGGAGCTTCAAGGAGAGTCTCTCCATTCTGTGGAAAAGTTAGGAATTCTCAGAGAAATCATGCCCTATGGGCACAGATTGTGCAAGGCAAGTTAAATGAGTCAGGCCATTAAGCAGATGCATTCCTGCTGGCTGTAACTTTTTATAGGAGAAGGCAGACACATTATGTTTTCTACCCCTCTGCCAACAGTTCTTTGGTGATCCTTTACTCCTCAAATCAGTATGGAAATACCTGTGCTCTGGTGCACCTGCTGGAGTGGCTGGTTTGCAAAGGCAGCCTGATTATTTGAGAATAGCAACTGGAAAAAGAAAATTTCACACTACTGAGTAGGGTAGAAATAGCTTGTGAAGCAGGATTGTTATCCTCAATAAGGGGTGAGAAGTTTTTCGGTTGGTTTTTGTTTTTACAGCTCTTCTGAGTTACCTCTGACATCTCTGGAGGTGTTTTTAGGGAGCTTTTCGTGGTTGGGGTTTACTGTAATGATTTCTAGGTAGACAAGCTCAAGGAATGTGCTGCATTTTGAGTGGAGGAAGGGAAGGGAAGCTTGAACCAGGAAAAAGCAGCATTTGGCATTTGTTTCTGTGCAAGTTTCTAGCTGCCTCCTAGAAACCTACAGTGCATTGCTGGAGTCTGACAGTCTGAAGTAGCAAGGAAATAGTGCAGCCTTGCTGGGGGTGCTATTTTCAGTGCTGCTGCAACAGATGGGCCCAGTTTACTCTGTTTGGGTACACTCATTTTTCATTTGTGTCTCCAGAGCTGTGCTTCATGGTGGCTGCATCCATCCACTCTCAGATCCTCTGGCGACTCAGCTTGCCGGTGAAATTTGGGGTTGCTGTTGAGTTTACAAAGTTTCTTCTGCCAGTTCAGTGGCACCAGAGTCTTTCCCCAACATGTAAACACTCCTGTCTCCCTTTCAAGGGAAGCCCAAGCCAGCTACTGCCCTACATCCTTATAAATAATCCAGCTGCAATTTCTAAAAATGCTTTATTAAAGCTGAATCTAAAAGCTTTTATGTTTGCAATGCATCATCTTCTCTCCTTATCCCTGAAAATCAGTGCAATTATTTGGCAGAATAAAGCAGCTCACGAGGGGAGGGATGTCGCTGATCATCCCTGAGCCATGGCTGGGTGTAGTTTCAGAGCTGTGGAGCTGGGGATTGGTCATTTCCAGGGCTGAGGATTTTAGGAAGAGGTGAAACTTTATTGCAATGACAGTTAAAAAGAAATTGCTGGGCCAAGGCTTAGGTTTCTGCATTGATTGATACTTGGTAGACTCTACATCCATTTGAATCATGCTCTGAAACAAATGTGGTTCCTCTCCAGCAAAATTAATGGGATCAAGTATTGCCCCAATCTCCTACCCGAGGACAAATTACTTTTGGTGCTAGATTTCATTTTCCCAAAACTGATTTATGTGTCTTGGTAGGCTAATAACTTCTTCAGTAAGGTGTGAAATCCTTTCTCTCAAAATTGTGCTCGGCAAGCTGAAAACTTGGAAGGGAAAAGAGCAGGAATTGTTGGGTCTGTCTTGGAAATGGGGGAAAGAGGGGATCCAGGTGTTTCATTAGCTGGAATGCACCTCCTGGCACCCTTTCAGGAGTTATTCTTCTACAAATTACATGGAATAACAGAATGGTTCCCCTTGGAAAGGACCATCCAGTGCCAGCCCCTGCCATGGGCAGAGGCACCTTTCACTATCCCAGGCTGCTCCAAGCCCTGTCCAACCTGGCCTTGGGCACTGTCAGGGATCCAGGGGCAGCCACAGCTGCTCTGGGAAGGAGAAGTCGTAACTGATTTTGGTGGAAGTTTGAAGCTATGAGGTTTTCTTTCCCCCTGGTTTATGAATCTCAGTGTTAATGGTGAAACATCTCTCCTGATTGCTTCATCCTTTCCCTTGCATATTGACTTTTCCTTTCCATTTGATTTGTTGTGCTTTTTTTCCCCATTTTAATTCTTCTTTACCCTCTTCCCAATCCTCTCAAGGAGATGGAGACAGGAGAGCTGGGAGCTGTTACCCTCACTCTTCTGCTGTTGGCTGTGGCTTCATTGAGCAGGGCTGAGGGATAATTGACAGTCAGGGGCTGAGATTGGAACAGGTGAGGAATTTTCCTACAGCATCTGTTGGGTCAGGATGTCTTGATGTGCTCTGGCAACGTCAAACTTGGCTTTTTAATAAACACACAGCTCCAGAAAGCTCTTTGAGTTCTTAGTGACTCCATCTCAGCCAGTCTCTGCAGGAGTTTTTATGCCTAAATAGTGCCTCCTAAATACAATTTTTTTTTCAGAAATCTTCCTGCATAGCAGGAAGTATATTTAAATTTAAAATTGACATTCTGCAGCAATTCGTGGGCTTACCATGTCCCAGTAAAATTCTTCAAATAAGTGCCTGTGACCCCTTCTGTGACGAAAAATTAAACCCATTGGCTTCTTGAATTACTGTTCTCCCTCTCACATGCTTGTGCTGCCAAGGCCAGCTTTGACATCAAAATGCTGCTTCGAGTGTTTTATCAGCTCTGAATCCCCAAAAGGTCTGCAGAAAGTTCAGTGCTGGGGGGTACCCGAGTGTGGGAAGTCCCTTTTCCCCAGGCTGAGCTGCTTAGTGCTTTCAGTCTTGGAATCATGAGCTAATTAGGGGGCTGGAAAAACAGGAACAAGTCTTTTTCTTCTCTCCTTTTGATATCAGAAAAGGGATGCAAGAGTTGGGATCTTCCAATTCTTTTCTGCACTGGAAAAATCTGGGCTTGGAAAGGCCAGGGATGGACAGCTTGTCTCAGTTTCCTTGGAGAGCAGATTGGGAGACAGAGGGTCATTGTTTGGGGAAATCAAATACCCACATCTAGCCAGAACTGATGCAACTGTTGAAATAATGTTGCATTTCTTCTTTTCACCTGACCTGGGTGGTCTCAGTTTGAATGGAGCCTGTTTTGGGTTGGAAGTGGTGTTTTCCTAGTGGGTTTGAGTCTCTCTGTTGATTCTTCTTCTTTGAAAAATCCACCTATGAATTGTGGCATAAATAAAAGTAGATGGGTCGTTCTGTTCTGGAAAAAAAAGCCCCAACTGTTTCATTTGTCCAAGGATATTGATTCAACCTCTGGAAGTAGCTACAGAGCTGTTCTGAGCAAGAATTTAAGGTAAGCTTGGCTTATCTGTTGGAAACATAAATACAATCTGCAGATTTCCTTGTAGCTGTAGTGCTAGAACATCATGATGACTCCAGAATAATGAAAATAAGCAAACATAAAATCTAAGTGTTTGGGTTTTTTTTTCCTCTGAGCTACTTTGTTGTATCCTATAAAAAAATATTTTATTGTAGTAAATCATTCAAGAATTGGGATTGCTTCTTATTGTAAGCTGTAATCACATCAGTTGATGGGAGTTTTATACTTGATCTCAGTTTTATTCCTTGCCCTACTCAGACTGTGGTATTGAGTTTTTTGTTGCTTCACAGGGCAAGATGCTTATTTTTAGTCTTTCAAAAAGTGAGCATCAGCTTTCTCAAGTGAACTTGACTTCAGTGCCTGGAGTTTTTAAACAAATACACCAAATATCATGGCACTTCTGATTTAAAAAAAGAAAATTGTGAGAGATTGTGGAAATTGCAGATGGAAAATTCAGCTTCCAAAGGGATTTTTTTAATTGCTGTGACATAAGGATGCTCTTTATTTTAGGGCAGTTGTGAGAAATGGCTGCTTTCAGATTTCTCAGGCAGTTGCTACCGAGTGAACACTCTGGGTAAACATCCCAGCAGAATCAAGGATGGAGATTGCTTGGACAAAGCAGATAATTTAGTGTTTCTTAAGGCTCAGGCAGAGTAAACATTTATGCAGTACTAAAGCAAACCATCAGAAATGCTGTAAAAAAATCTCTTCAAGCTCTCAAGTGAATGCTGGGGGGTTTAATTTTCATTTTGGTTGGTTAAATGATACTGGCAATACTTCCCTTATCCAATACATGTTAGGAATATAAAGCTGTAATTAGGATGGGGAACCCTAGAAAGGGCAAGGATAGCTCCTTGGGGAAAGGAACACATGCAGATTTTCCGCTGCATATGGAACAGAAATTCATCCCTGGAGATGAAATGGGAACATCAGGTTTGTGTAGAGTGGAAAATATAATTTTAAATTTGAAATCAGAGTTGTTTTTCATAACCATCTCGTTGTTCAGAGCTGGAGAGGATTGGAGGATCAGTGCTGCTAGCTGGCTGCATTCTATTAACATTTGAATTTTAAACCTGTTTATTTGAAAAGGAATAAACAAAGCCATAATGCCAATCTTAATAGGAGCACAGATGAATATCAAAGGGATGCTGTTTGGATGGATTCACTGTGAGCACTGAAATTGGTGGTGTTTGCCCATAAACCAGGGTGGGGATGGATGGGCAGCCAGTGGCTTTGCCACCTCCACCATCTCTTGTGCTCCATCCCACCTCCCTTGTCCCAGGACTGGGCAAAAGTCTGAATCTGATAGGGAAAAAACCCACTGTTGAGGGATTTGTTAATGATTTTTCATTGCTTTTTTAGTGTGCTGTGAAGTCTTCAGGGCCTTCTTCCCTACCTCTTGCCTTAAAAGATACTGAGCTCCAGCCCTCAGAATTATCTGCTGAATATTTGATGTGATTTCCCTCCCTCCTCCTCTGTTCCCATCCCAAACTGTGCATCCCTCCATTGTGGAATCCTGACCTGCAGCAAGTGGCACTGATCTATCCAGCTCTGCAGTGGGAATGGCCTAACACACCACACACCTGAGAGGTGTTTGCACAGACAGGTCCCAGGATCCTCATTTTTGGAAGTGAATGGTTTAGCAGAATGGTGTGGTGGCATCCTGTGTTGCAGAAGCAAATAGAAAACAACAGTTGTGGCTTTATTTTTGTATTCTGTGGTTATTCACTACCTGGGAATATGTGAGTAGAATGGGGAATAAAAGGAAAAATTAGGCTGCTGCTCCTCTGCTCTGTGGTTTTTTTGGGAATTCCTTTACCATTCTGTTCCCAATTCTAAGGCTGACCTTGTGAATGAAAAAATTGCATTTGCCTCAGAAATGAAACCTTTATTTCACAAGAACACACAGCAGATTTTCTTTTCCAAGGCAGCATTTACCCTTTGCCTTCAATCCTGTGAGCCACCAAAATTGCTTTGCCTCCTGCAGCTGGTGTGTGATGAGGTGGCGTTTCTGTGGTTCCTTTTCTTCTCTTGTAATTATGTTTAGATTTGTAGCTCTGCTTTCCCATTTGTCTCTGTTCTGTTGGACATGTAATGGGGTATGGATTGTATTTTATAAGTTTTGACACTTTGAAATTTGTCCTGTACTTACAGTTGCATATAAATGTTTTGCTCCAGGCTAGCTAAAAAAAGGGATTGAAGAGCAGTAGGGTTTTCTTAGGAAAATTTAAATGTGTGGGTTGGGTTTTGTTTGATAGGTTTTCTTGTTATTTGGCTAAATTTGCCTTTTAAAATGCAGCTGTGACTTTGCTTCTGGCCAAATGCCTCTTACCTGCTGTAGTTGTTTATCAGGTCTGCCTGCCATCTTGCATGCCTTGGAAATTGAGAGATGGGCTGCAGATATTTCATGGAATTATGGAACGGTTTGGGTTGGGGACCTTTCAGATCATCGAGTTCCAACCCTTTGCCGGGCAGGGACACCTTCCCTAAACCAGGTTGCTCCAGGACTCATCCAGCCTGGCTTTGAACATTTGCAGGGATGTGGAGTCCACAGTCCCGCAGTCAAGCTGCGATTCCCTCTTGCTGAGGGTTTTGGGGAAAGGCTGAGGAATTGGAATAACGCTGACAAGCGGTTGGATGTGACAGCCAGGTGTGTGCCAATAGCTAACACTCACAGGTATTTAACCTGTTTGTTAGGCAGATTATGTGCCTCTTTCAGAACAGGTAATAAACACCCGTGAGTTATTCTGTGAAGCCTTTCCTCTTTAGGACAGGCAGCACTTGGAAGCTCGGTTGTTTTGCTAAAGCAGCGCTCTCACCCCGCAGGATGTTCCGGCTGCGCTTCCTGCCCGCGGCCGCGGGGCTGGCGGCGGTGGCGCGGCGTTACCGTGGGACGGCCCCGCACCTCGGCTCCCGGCGTAGGCTCCTGGTGGCGGCGTTCCTCGGGACCTCCGCGGCCACAGCGAGCGCCAGATTCCTTTGGCAGAGGTAATAGATGGATTTCTAATGTCTTTCCTGTTCCTGGTAAGTACCTGCGGCGCTCCTGCTTGTCCTGCTGCTGCTGCATGGAAGGAAGGTTGGTGAAGGGCTTGGAACACAAGAACTGTGAGGAAGCACTGAGGGAGCTGGGGGTGTTCAGCTTGGAGAAAAGGAGACTCAGGGGTGACCTTATCACTCTCTACAGCTCCTGAAAGGTGCCTGTGCTCAGCTGGGGTTGGTCTCTTTCTCCTGACAGCACTGACAGAGGACACAGTCCCAAGCTGCACCAAGGGAAATATAGGTTGGATATTAGGAAAAAGTTTTTTACAGGAAGGGTGATAAAGAACTGGAATGGTCTGCCAGGGGAGGTGGTGGAGTCACCATCCCTGGATGTGTTTAAAACAGACTGGATGTGGCACTGGGAGCCAGGGTTTAGTTGAGGGGTTAAGGCTGGGTTGGCTCAGTCTTGGAGGTCTCTTCCAACCCAACCCAGTGACTCTGTGAATGGCTGTGGGTGATTCCCTGAGGAGCTGCTTTGCTGCTGGCAGTGCTCAGGGATGCAGCAGAGCTCGGGGTGAGGCGTTGTCTCACAGGGCTCTTTCATGTGGTTTCCTGCCTGCCTGGTGGTTTGTGGTGGTGTGAAGACAGAAATCATCACTTTCACAGCTTGTGATTGAAACAGCACATCTGGGTGGGGTTTGCGCCCCTCTTTTTTTTTTTGCGTAGTCTGCTGGCTGCTTGATGTATAAAATGCAGCAGAGGAGCAGAAGTGGACAGTTTGGGTGGGAAGGTAGCACACACAGGATTTATATGCATTTTCAGGGTCAGAGCCTTAGGACACCTCATGGGTTCGGAGGCTCAAAGCTCTTTCCTGTAACTGAGCTGAAAAGGGATGTTTGGGCTTTCCTGAGGTGACTCTCACTGAGCCCTGGGGCTGTGCCATGTTTGAAGTAAAACAGGGACTCCCTTCTTTTCCATCGAGTGGGAGCAGTGTGGCACCAGCAGTCACTCGAGCACATGACTGCAATTAGACTCTAAAAATAAAGTATTTGCTGAAAGCCTGTGTTCTTTTCATTCTAATACTCAAATGATTTGTTGCTGGCTTTCTGCTCACCTGTGGCTAGAAGGCCTTAGTTTTAATGCAGTGGGAGAAAGGTGATGGGAATTGTTCTGGCTGGTCCTTTGAGCTGTCAAAGCTGGCTCTCTGCAAAGAGGAGCTGCTTAGTGGAGAAAGAACACTGTGATCCAGCACAGTGTCATTTTGTGCTGCATTTTGGTAATGATCTGCACTGATGCAGTCAGTGCCTCTGAGGGAATGGCCAGGATAACTCCCCTTTTCCAGCAGGGAAGAGTGGGGTTTTTCCACTTCAAACCTTATCCTCAACATGATCAGAAAGTCAGTAGGACATCATGTCCTATGTAAAGCTGTCCCAGAGACAGAGTTGATGTCTCCCTTCTGTAGCAGGTTCCTCTGCATTTAAAACTAGCTAAATTTTCGAGTGCTGGTGTTGCTTTTATCAGGAGGATGGTGCTTGTGCTATGTGGTCAGCGAGAGATTTTTGGCTCCTGGAGTACTTTGCTGTTCCTTGGAGGCCCTTGGGCAACTTTCTCTGCTGAGAGCACTGATAGAAATCAGTCAGTGAGACACAGCTCTCATCATTCTGGAGAAGCTGACTTGCTGTTATTACTTGTTTTGCCTTTCCTTGCTCTGTCTCCTTCATCTTTTATAAATTTATAAAGCACTAAATAGAATTGTACAGACTTTCAAGTATTCCTTTCCTATCTGAGCCATGAAATAAATCCTCAATGTCAGCAACTGTAAAATAAAAGTGCACCCAAGCTTACAATATTAATTTAATTACTTGGCATAAAGCTGCTGAATAAAACAAGGAACAAAACTGATATGTTTGATGTAGAAAATTCTTCATACTGACATCTGTGGAAGTTTCAAATGGACTTTCAAGTGGGCATTTTAGCCTTGTTTAAAGAAATAAGGGATGAAATTTAAGTTTCCTTTGTCTTTCTGACAATGGATATTAGGTGATCAGTAGAGTTTGAGAGTAGGTGAATAGAAAATGTTTGTAATGACATCCTCAGTTACTCAGGCAAGTGTGTCCCAAGTTAGTACAGGAAGTAGCAGTAAGTATAATTAATTAGTTCTAAGACATAAATATGTAAATATTTCTTTACGTTAAGGCACTGAAGATGTAACAAGCCAGATCAAGAAGCAATTGGAAATTTTAAGTTTCTTGGGCTAGATAAGTAGAAGATGATGGTGTGAAGAAAGGAATTTGCAGGTGCAGTCTGAAACCAGCGTATTTCAGGTGGATTCTGTAGGGTGTGCTCTGAGCAGCAGCAGAAGCAAGCGCTGGGGTAAGGAAGCTCACACAAAGTCAGAGAAGAAATCAAGGAGTGAAAAGATAGATATGGAAAAATCCTGTGGTTGTATGATGCAAGGTAGACTTAATTGTGTCTTCCTAAGATGGGAGGTGGGTTGGTGGGATCTTTCTTTGGTCCATTGCAGGTAAGTGCTGGTCTTGTTGCCTTCCCTGCCCTCTGGGAAGTCCTGCTGCCTGCTTTTGGGGAATGTATCTCCTTTAAATTTTTATACAACAGGAGTAGCTCATGCTGCTCAGTTTTCCTGTGGCAAGGAGTACTTGAGCAGTGCAAATAGCTGAGCTTAGAAGACTAATGAAGTTTACCCTTTCTCAGCAATAACTTAAACTCTGAGGATTTCCAGCTGGCAAGAGAAGCAATTAAGTATCTGGGCATTGGCATAATGAACTGAATTAATTGAAATTAATCTTGGTGCAATCACTGGCTACTCTAAATGAGGCACTAATATATGAGAAGTACTAAACCTCCCAGTTTGTAAAAATAATCTGTTACTGATCCTGGTGTAAAACTTGTGCTTTCTTTTTCCAGATATCCATTTGAAATGGCTGTAGATCTGTTCTTCTTGTCACAACCCTTTTTGGCTGAATCTGTGGGCCTCTGAAAGCACTTAAATTGGCAATTTGGTGCTGAAGCTTGTTAATCAGTCTAACATGGAGTGAAGTAAGGGAGCAAAGGTACCTTTGGGGGCACAGAGTGACCTCTGTAAGCAGAGTCTTACCAGTGCTCTTCCTGACACACTGAAAATTCTTAGTTAATGATCTTTTTCTTATCCTGTGAATAAATTAGTGGTAAGAATAAGGGAAGACACCTGTGTTGCTCTGGAAATTGCTGCCTCAGACATGGATCTTGTTGGAGCCAGTCCAGGAGAGGCCATGGAGCTGCTCCCAGGGCTGGAGCCCCTCTGCTCCAGAGCCAGGCTGGGAGAGCTCACCTGCAGATTGGGGTGGGGAACTTGGAGCCCTTTCCAGTGCTTAACAGGGCTCTAGGAGAGCTGGGGACAAGGACTTGGGAATGGCTTCCCACTGCCAGAGGACAGGATTAGTTTGGATATTGGGAAAGAATTGCTCTCTTTGGGGGTGGGGTGGCCCTGGCACAGGGTGCCCAGAGAAGCTGCGGCTGCCTGGAGGTGTCCAAGGCCAGGCTGGACAGGGCTTGGAGCAGTCTGGGCTAGTGGGAGGTGTCCCTGCCCGTGGCAGGGGGTGGCACTGGAGGGGCTTTAAGGTTCCTTCCAAATCAAACTGTTTTGGGATTCTGTAACTCTGTCTAAGAGTGCACTGATTTTTTGCACCAATGTCCCAGGGGCTTTAGAGTAATTTGCTTAGAATTCATTTTTAATGGGAGAATTGCTGGAAATATCTTATGCCAGCTGAAACAGAGACTTCAAAAATCTCTCTTGTAGTAAAACAAAGGAAACCACATAAATCATAGTCAAGAGGGGAGAAACCTGTTTTATAGCTATAGATCTGTCAGGTACAACTTAACCTAATGTATGGGAGAAAAGATGAAAAATTGGAGGTATTATTCATGTGAGTTTATTTTTAGAGTTCTCATGCATTTACATCTTGGGGGGATGGAGTGAGCTGATCTTTAAGGTCCCTTCCAACCCAAACCATTTTGTGATTCTATGCTTTTTTAAATTCTTTGTGAGAGGTGATACACTCTAGAGACTCTGCTTGGGATTGCTGTGCTGAGGATTTTTTCCTAAGACTTCAAGACACATTGGTCTGGGAGTGGTGTCTTGAAAGAACACTGTGTTCTCTCCAGTGGCTTTTGGCTGAGTACTGGGGGCTTTTTTCCATGAACAATGGGGAAGGAAAGGATCAGATCCTGGGGGCACAGCCCTTACCCCACTGTGGTGAGCTCTGTTTACAAATGAAAGCAGCATCTTCTGGATTAAGAAATACCTGATTTATAGCTCACAGTGATATTGGGGTAATGTCAGGACACCACAGCATTAGGATGACTGCCTTTGTGAAGTTCTTGCCACAAGTTCATTGTGCCAATTTATGTTGGTGTATGTGAGACATGAGGTGGGAAGCAAAGTATTAAAGAGCCCTGTGAGTGTGGCAACACCCTGAAAAATTGGGTTGTGGCTCTTCATCCTCTCTGGTGAATTCCTTATTAAAGTTTCAGGTAACTAATTTAGGTGCTGAATATGTTTGAGCTAAGGATGAGCCAGAGCTCCTTGCTGAAAGTTCTCTGGAGGTTGCCTGTGTTTATGGAAGTCGTGTCCTGACTTGCTTTTGCATTACAGCATGAAAGCCCTGAAGTCTTAAGTGGCTTTTAAACCTCACTGGGATGTCCCCAGATGTTTACATACAGGGAGAATGGCAACTCTTAGTCAGCTGAGGAACACGTGTGTCAGGCAGGATTCCTTCCTCCTGCCTCTGGTTTGCTGACAGCATCTTTGCTGACTCCTGAGTGCCCATCTCTTACATTTCCTTCTGAGACTGAGCAATAGCTGATAGCTGAATACTTTGCTGCTGCCTTCAGGATTAGAATAACTGAGCACTGTTATCTCTGGCACAAAGTTTTGTGATTTTTTTTTCATGCTGTTCTGCTTCTGTCATTCAAAGAAGAAAAATACTTTCAAGTGAGGGGTTGTGATTCATTGGTAGACCTGCAACTTGGAGTGTTGTGCCAATGCCCAGTGTGAGTCCCAGCATCCTTCCTGCATGTATATCCTATGGTTGCATGTTTGTCTGTCTTAAAGAATGATTCCCTAAGAGAGAATGTATCATTGCAGGCCTCTGGTAGCTCAGTGTTTTGGGGGAAGATGAGGACTCTAATCTTACACTTGATTGTTGGCTTTCTCCAAGGATTCAAAGGAGATATTGCTAAGTGGGTGGGAAGTAGTCTTTTATTCAAATTCAGTTCACTGGAGGGAAAAAAAGTCTGAAGAGATCAGAATGGTTGAAGCATGGCAGTAGGGTTCAGCATCCAGGGCAGGCACACTCTGTGGGGAAAGGCTGGTGGCTGGTCTTGGCACACAGTGAAGGGAGGCTTTGTATTTTCATTTCCTTTTTTGTGCAGAAGCTGCAGCACCAGGAATTTCATTGGAAAGTCAGCCTCATCAAACAGGGGAGGAGAAGAGAGAGTCTTCACTTGCTGAGGGAATTCCAGCAGGGTGGATATTTCTGGAGCTATGAGCTTTCTTTTTCTCCAGCCATACTCTGACATCTGCACTGAAAGATTTTTTTTTTTTGTGTGATCTAGGTATGGAGGTTGCAGTTGTTGGAAGCCAAGGATTTCAGCAGAGGGTGGTAAAATACACAGAGAAGGTGCACGTAGAGAGCTGCTCCTTCAGTGGTTAATTCAGGAACAGCTGTTAAAACCTTGCTTGAGAAGCAGCCTACAGACTCTGCCTTTCTCCTCAGCTCCTTTTCCTGGATGCTGATCTGACTGTGGAGCAGAGTTAATTACCTGAATAAACCAGAGGGAGGAAAAAGCTGACTGTATTCAAACAGCCTCCGTCTGTATCGCTGGAGCAACTGATTTGACAGCCTGATGGATTGAAGGAATGCGTGGGATCTGCTGAAAAAGTTTGATTTTTCAATTTCATCTATCTCTTCCCTGGTCTGCTAGCTGTCAGTCAAGCATTACAGGAGGAAATCTCTCCTGATACAGCTATTCTCCAGCATGTTTCCTATGGAACACCTTAGTTGTGGAGATAAGCAATTGATTTCCTATTGCTTTTCTGTCCCTTTTCCCAAGAGGTTCCCTCAGAGCTACTAAAGATGGGTGTCCTGCCTGCACAAGGGCTTTCCATGTCAGTGCTGCTGGTGTAGCCTCAGCTGGCAGCTGCATTTTTCAGCCAAACCCACAGCTCCTCAAGGGTGTGCCAGTGCTGATTAAACTTTCAGGAAAGGCTTCAGGACAGGTGCCAGCATGGACTTCATGCTCTCCAAGAGAGATCAGCTGCAGGACTGTTCTGGGGAAAGAGTTTCCCTACCTTAAGATACTTGTGGAGGACCCAGGTTTGGATCCTGTCTCTTAAAGTTTGGTTCAGTGGAGACCATAAAGGTGGTGCTTTGCTGTAAGACTCACAAATACATACTGGCAAATTGAGACTCGGGGCCTTTTCAGAACAGGAGGTGTGTAAAACTCCATTTTAATATGAAAAGGCAGGATTAATACTGCTCTTCACTGAACACTTGTGTATTTTATTACATCAGACCCCTGTAATGGAGCTGTGTTCTGTCCCAGTGTGGACTAGAAACCTCAGAATCCCTGTCTGAGCTGATCCCTTCCAACCCAAACCATTCCATAAATGATGAAGTGTCTTCTTCCCACCAGTACTGTGGACGTTTGCAGTTCTTTAGCCCATTCCCATCTGTCTTGTACTGTGCTGTCAGTGAATTATTGGATGCTGATAAGGAGAGAGTTGTCTTTTATTTTGGTAGCATTTAATTTAATTGATGGATCACTTACTCTCATTTCTCCTTCTTGGAAGCTGATGTGCTGAGATTGCTGCAAGCTGTGGAAGGTGCCCCTGCCCATGGCAGGGGGTTGGAATGAGAGGATCTTTAAGGCCTCTTCCAACCCAAACCATTCCATGATTCTGTGATTCCTGGGGAGACAGACACAGACTCTCTTCTGTTAGTATAACATAGCACATCTGTGTTTTCCTGGAAACTGGTAGGATGAAGTATGTGTAGCCTTTTGTTTAGAACTTGGGAGACTTCAAAAATCTTGGTTTGTTTCTGTTTCTCTCCCAAGGCAGCCCTTTTAAAACAAACTCACACAGCTGTAAATGACCACATTCATAGCTCCAGGCAGTACCAGAGTGGCCAAGGAGCAGCACCTGTGTGTAAGCTCCATACCCTGTGATTAGTCCAAAATAAATCCCCAGGAATGCAAAGTAAAGGCAGATTTACTTAAAGTATGGGCAGGCTGGGATGTTTCCCTGAGCTGTTTGAGTCCTTTAGAAAGAGAAATAATTTGTCAATCTGTTGGCTTTGTTGCTTGCGACACGTTAAGGGATCCTCAGAGATTACCATTGCACTGATGTTAATGTGGTCTGAGCTCTGTCTGATTCTAAACTGCTTTACAAGTAAAGCATGGGAAAGCCAGAGCATTGTTGGGCTTAGGGATTTATCCTGCTTTTTATTTAATCATCCCATTGCCAGTTGCAGTTCTGCGAGTTGCTCCTGATTCCGAGTGATTTGAAGTGTTGAGTCTTGGTCTATGAACAGAGTTGACTGAAGATCTTTGTATTTGAACAGCAAGGGGAAAGGGGCCCTGGGCTCTGCCAGAGTTTTATTTGCACCTTGAGGACAAACAACTCCAGTTTTGTTGTCACAAATCCTGCAGCACTGGTGTTTAGAAGAGTCATTGGTGGAAGAAGGGGATAAAACAGCTTGTCAGCTGCTGAAGATAGAAAATAAATCAGCTGAGCTGAAACAAAAAGGTTGTTCATCCTGAATCCTGCAGTGCTGATGGTAAAACACATTTCTGTCACTTAATACATCTTTTTGGGGAAGCAGAGGTGGAATTTAGTGCTAGAGGAGGTATGATATGCCTTTCTCACAGTGTTTCTTGCATGTCTAGTTTTTGGGAGAGGGTGTCATAATTCACTGAGTGATTTGGACTGGGAAAACTTACTGTGGCCATTAGTCTGGGTTTTGATGTGGGGTGGAAATTTGATTACAGCAGGGGAAAGCACGCTGAATTCCAGGGGGATTGGTCACTTCTTGCTTTTGCTTTGCAGCCCTCCCCACTGAACTGTAACCAGTGCTGCACTCAGGTGCAGCCTGGCAGGACCGTTTTGTGGCACCCCTCAGTCACTTCCTAAACGGGTGTTTTCTTTTCCCTGGTACAGGGCCTATGCAGAAGACTCTGTCAGACATGGCCCGAGGGCAGAGCCAGGGGAGAAGATGAAGCACGAGGAGGAGGAGGAGAGCAGCAGCAGCGAGGGCAGGAGGGCAGTGGCGGCGGGCGATGAGGAGGCGCCGCCGGAAGGGAAGAAGAAGAAGCGCTCCGGGTTCAGGGACCGCAAGGTACCAAACCTGGGCATCTTGCAAGAGGGAAAACTTGCCCTGTACCTGTCTTTGTTTTCTGAGGGACCTCACTCTTTCGGGAGCCTACTTTCTCAGCATGTTGCCATGAGTTTCTGCAGGCTGAAATTTGTGTATTTGGAAAGCACAGAACACTGATCCTATGAAATGGAGACCTCTTTTCCCACCTCCACTTACGTGTCCAAGATAATCAAGGTTCCTGCACTGATGGCTGTGAGGATGGTGCATAGAAAGCAGGGAATTGGTGCCAAAGCTTTTAAACCATCTGGGATATTCAGCATGTGTGTCTCTGAGTCCATCCTTTTGCCTGTGAATATACACAGTGCATGTAGGAAGAAGTAGAGGGAGAATGTGGAAGGGAGGGTTGTAGGAAAGGTGTACGTTAATTCTTCATTTAATTATTCTGTGCAAATGTACTTGTTGAAATACAGGCTCAGTCCCCCTTCTTGGTTAGCCCTGGCTCTCTCTTGATGCTTCTGGCTATTTCATTTTCAGATCAAACACATTTTCAAGAGGAGGAAAACTTGAGTAATAAACTGTCTTGTTGGCTTGTGACCTTTCTTCACTCTTGGGGAGTTCCAGGAGCTTTGGGCACCTCAGAACTGACAAGCTTGGCACTATCTGAAACCACTGTTATTAAAGGATGTGTAATTTGATCTGACAGAGTCCTCTAACTGGGAGCTGGCAGACAGCAGTATTTTATTTTTTAAGCCCATCTGGATGTCAGTTTTATAGGGCTTTGTTGGATGATGTAATATCTTTGCAGCACCAAAGAGGGGAAAGGAATTGTGAAGAGTATCTACTCCCATTTTGTTATGACTTGCTTCTGATATTTATTTTTAAGCCTGTATTCTGGAGGGTGCATCTCATTAGCTGTTAAATTGTGGGTAGTCATATATAGTGGCTTAGCAGCTTCTCATGAAAAATTAAGAGCTGTTTCCTTTAGAGCTGCTGAATCATTTTGGTTCCTGGTCAGAAAAGATTACACAACTTGAGATTTCAAGTGCCCCGTGGTATTTGGGGCTCCAGACTCTCTCCTGTTGTGACATGTTGGTGGCAGCTCAGTGAGGTAGTAAGATACTGTGCTGAGATATTCAAAATTGTCCAGGAATGTGGGTTCTTGGAAGCTGCTAGTTTTCATGGCAGCTGGCTGTCAGGTGCTCTGACAACTTCAGCTCTTGCCAGTACCACTCAAGAAAAGCAGGTTAATGGTTTTTTCCAGTGTTAGCAGATGGAGGCAGGTTACAAAGATCAAACCACAGTCCACCTCCACCCACACTCTCACTTTTGAATACAGTGAGTGTAAAGATTGATTTTTGTCTGACGTGGCTGCTGGCTGGGGAAGCCAGAGGAAGTTTTTTACATGCAGGAACTAGTGTTCTGGTTGTTTGAGATGTGCCTGTGTTGACCAGCTCTTTCCTTCCCAAACTAGGCAGGGAAGAATATGACCATGATTTCCAAATAAGACACAAGCCAGGTGTGCCCAAAAGATGGGAATAGTGTGTGGCCTGGATCCCTTCTCATCCCAGTGTGCCTTCTCCAACGGCAGGAGCTCAGGAGCAGCGATTTCCCTGGGGACAGCCCTCATCATCTTTGTGCCAACACAAACCTTTTCTCTGCAGCCTCCAGACAGAATGTACCTTGTGTGGCCTGAATGCCAATGTTGCAAAAGCTCCTTGAAACGCAGGATGTGCCAGGTATTGTCCCAGGTGCCTGCCGTTTGAGCAGCAGTTCTGCAGTGAGTCACCCCGGGAGCCCTTTGAATGTGGCCAGCTCAGATGACAGGGGAAGGTGTGCCCTGCTCCTGACTCAAAATTAGGGCTGCTCCCAGGATGTGCTGCTCCCCTAATTGTGTAGCACCTTGGGGATTCTTCTACAAACCACCACCCACGGTAAAAACTCTTCCCAGCTCTTCCCATAATTAATTGAAAATAGCGTGGGATTTTCCTTGCGAAAAAATTAAGCCTAATTGGAAGTGTTTAACACTTGTTTGTTATCCTAATGTTCCTTTTAATGAAGGTGATGATTAGTGGTGAAGCAGTAAATTGAGTTTGACATTGCTGTTTTAGATAGTGATCCAGTGAGAGGGGGAAGGTGAAACATAAAGCACTCTCAGGTGTTGGGATTGTGTGTGGATCGTTCCCAGGCAGGTGTCTGTGCAGTGTGGAGGTCCTGGCTATGTAGGGCAGAAAAGGAAAAAAAATTACTTGAGTGCCTCAATATAGTTTGAAGGCTAATGAGCTGTAATACAGGATGGGGGCGGGCTGATGTGTTAATTAACTTGCTAAAAGTGTTTTCATGCAGCAGTAGGGCTGACTTATCAAGATGTACTGGCAGTGTTTGGGTCCTGCAGGTATCTTGCCTTGGGATGTTCCTCGTGCTGAGCCTTCATTTGGGTGTGTGTCGCAGGAGGAAGCACGAAGAAAATGAGTCCTAATTAATTTACCCTGTAAAAATGTGTGCTGCTGCATAGTCAGGGAGGCCCTGGTGATGCTCTGTGCCTTGAGATGTTAATTTAGAGCTTTATTTCATGTCAGCATAGGATTTAGGTTTTTTTTTTATTTTTTTTTTAACCTGAGGCTTAGCATAGACATTAACAGTCTCAGCAGCACCTTCACTCTTGTAGAGCAACAGGGATTACTTACTTGTCCTTCTCCTCAAGTATGTACTCTGCTAATAAATGCAAAAAAGGGATTTTTCCCTTTGGGTCATATCATCTTTCTGAAGGTGCCTGATTACATGAAGCTGCATTTCTGGAGGCAGGATGAGAATTTTGCCTGGTCTTCCTTGCATCAAGAACTGCTTTGTATTAGGGAAAGGTGAGAGGTCAGGAGACACTTGTCTGGCATGATTTTCAGTCCAGGTGGCTTTGAAGCAGTGCAGAAACCCCTCACAAATGGTTATCTGCACCCAAATACATGGCCCCTTAACTCCACGTTTGTGTCAGGCCACCCTTGTCAGCACCCACTTGATGTTCAGCACCCAGTCAAAATAAGTGAGGTTTTCCCCCTTTGCAGCATCTTGGCTGCTCCCTTCTTGACCTGGCTTCGTGTTGCACCCAGCCTTGCAGTCAGAGGGATGGGCTGCAACATTTGTCAGTTTTTGCCAGCTGATTAGCTCATTACCAAGAATGATGTAATTGTGAGTTCAGCTGCAGGCAAAAGGGAAGAAGTGTGGCTACATTTGCTCTCTCCTTGTAGGGAAGAAGTAAGATTTCAGTTGTGATGAAAGCAGCCTATGAGATGCTAAAAAGCAGTTTAGATTCTACTCTTTTGGTCCAGACTGCATTTCTGTGCTGAAAGATGAGACAGGAGATGTGGTTTTGAGCCCATGTTGTTAGTAAGCTGTTGTTGCTGTGGTAGTAATACTCTAAATAGTCTAAACATTAAGAGAAAAGCACCTGAAAGCAAGAAGTCTGAGAGCAGCATCTTAGCAGGGGCCTAAAATACATGGAGAGGGAAGAGCCATTGTGGATACTAAGTCAAGTGGGGTAACATGAAACGTGGTTTTACTGGCAGAATGTCAGGGCTCCTGTCTCAGGTGCAGCAGTGGGGTTGTTGAGTTGTGCCCAGCTGGGTTGAGGGAAAGCAATTGATAGTGCTTTGCAATAAAATTTTCCACAGGCTTGGAATATTTGGTTAATGAGGTTTTTTTAGCTAGAAAGCAGGCTGTGTTGAAGGGTTGCCATGGATGGAGGGAGCTGGTTGTGCTCTGTGGTGTCTGCTCTTGGCTCCAGTCTGGGGTTTCATACTGTCCTTGTTTTATTTGTCTTCCTTGAAGGTAAAATACTGAGCTGTTTCTGGCTGATTAAGCTGGGTGGGGTGTTATTCATGAGATCAGGTCAGGCAGGAGTGAGATATGACCTGCACCCACAAGTGAAAAGATCACTTTGGCATAAGGAGCTGCCTCCTGCCAGGTGGGAGCAGTAGACAAAGCCAGAAAGAGGTGGAAAAGTGGGTGTCATCTTTTACTTGGAGCTTGGCGGTAAAGCGATTTTCCTCATTCCAATGCCCTTAGCTGTGCAGAACCTTGTGGACTGAAGCAATAAAAGTGGGATTAGGTTTGTTGATTAGAAGTGCAAAGAGCCTGGGGAAAAAAAACTTTCTCCTGCAGGAGGGAGGGAACTGCCTGTAGTGGTTGATGCAAGGACATGTGAATTCTGGAAGAGCTGTGGCAATGCAGAGAGGACTGGGGAGAATGCTTTAGATATTTTCATTCTAGGTAATGTCATCTGGGACAAATAAAGAGGAGAGAGGCTTTGCTTTACCAAGGCCTGGCTTGGGGGATGTGAAACATTTGGCTCTCTTTCATGCTAGAAGTAAGAAAAACTGGAGGGTGTTTTCTGTCTGATAAACATCAGGCTGAGGAAGTTGTTCAGGAATTTAAGGACAAGGCTGAAGCAGGACCAAAGCCAGGAATGATCTACAGCTGCCTTGGCAGTACCCTTGATCTTGCCTGTTCTCTTGCAGCACATCGTCGGTGGGGATTTTTTCCTCCTGTGGCTCTTGGCCAGCTGCAGGTTTCAAGTACATTATGGACTGTTAAACATGGCATATAATGCAGGACTGAAAAGCTGAAGTAAGGAGGAAAGTTTTCTGTGCTAATACATGATGAAGTGTAGGTGTCTGTGCCTTTTTCCACCCTTGTGGCCTTGTGTTGGGATTTTGTTTAGAAAAGCTGTCTCTTGTCTTTGATTAATTCCAGCTGTTTGGGGGGAAACTGATTCTAGGTACCAAAAAAAAAATATCACTGCTGGCAGAGTTAGGAAGAAGCAGATTGGTGAGGAGGACTGAGTTTCTGGGGAATTCTGCCAGTGTGATAGAAAAGAGGAAAAAATGAGCTTGGGTGACTGAGCAACCAGCTGCGGCTCCAAGTGATTTTTTCCAAGACTCTGCTTGAAAGTAAAGGTTTCTCCCAGCTTTCCAAGACTTTTCTTTTGCCTCATATATTAATCACAAATCAAACCCTTCAACACTGTGGTTAAAATATTGGGCTGCTTTAGGTAATTTAAATTCACAAATGTGATGCCAGTTTGTTTTCTTATGCTCGTGTTTTTAAAGCACCTTCAGGGATTTTGTGCATTTGTTTTTCTTCTGCCAGCATGAAGAGTCTAAATTTATTCATAATAAAGATTTTTAGTGTTTGTTCTTAATCCTGGGACATCAGCAGCTATGTCCAGTCTTCCTGGGTGTTGAAAGGGTTTTTGAAAGGAATAATGCCAAAAAAGTCCAGAGTTGTGTTGCTGCACACAACTTGTCCTGAGGCAAATCTCTTTGAGGACTGACAGTCAGTGTGGGGCAGGGACAGTGCGCCTCTAATGCTGGCTGAATTTCATTTCCAGGTGATGGAATATGAAAACAGGATCAGAGCCTACTCCACCCCAGACAAAATCTTCAGATACTTTGCCACGCTGAAGGTCATCAACGAGCACGGCGAGTCCGAGGTGTTCATGACCCCGCAGGACTTTGTGAGATCCATCACCCCCAACGAGAAGCAGCCAGAGAGTGAGTGCTGGGTGGGTGCTGATCAGGGGAGCTGGTACTCCCCAGGCTCTGCTCACCTGCTCTGTGAACTTCCCAGTTCTAATTGCCAGGGCTGGGAAGCATCTCCTCAAGGTCTCCTGCTCCAAGCCCAAATTTAGCCTGAGTCCTTTCATGTTTTCCAAAATGCTGTTGCAGTGTAGTGGAGCTGGCTGGTGGGAGCCCCTGAAGGGCAGATGGGATGCCTTTCTCCTGTATTTAACAAGGAAATATTACCTTTAACTGAAGCACTTCCTAAACCTACAAAAGGAGGTTGCTTTGGCAAGGAAAACATCAGCAGTAAAGGCTGGAGTCAATGATCTTAGGGGTCTTTTCCAACCTAAATGGTTCCAAAGGGGTTGAGGCAGCCCCATGTGATGCTGCTGGTCAAGGTAGGGCTCATCCCTGCCATCTTCAAATTCCCTGTGGGTTGCAGACAAACACATCACTTGTGGTACCTGGGGGAGGTTGGCAATCAAAAAGTGGGAGAGAGACACTTGCTCTTGTCTGGAAAACTGACCTGAATATTTGGTGTTGGTGGGGTAGCAGGAGGCTGCATTTTAGATATTTTTGTCTCCATTTCATGTTTGGGGGTCTCCATTTAGAGATTGATTTTGTCTCCATTTTAGAGATTGATGTTTGGGATGTTTCATGTTTCTTGGCCTCCTACATTGTATCTCAGAGAACGAAACAGGCTTTTGTCAAATTAAAACTTCACTTGTCTCTGCAGACATTAATGAAGAACTTCAGCCCCCAAATGTTAAATATTTGAGTGTGGGGTTTATGTCCAAATTGAGAGACTGTTTTGATGTCTTAGATGACAGCTGCTAAATAAATACTGTGTACCCTTGTGCTTCGAAAATAACAATATGAAGTGTGTGCAGGAGGGAAGAAAAAATAATCCTGGCATTAGTGTTTAAAGCATGTAGGTGAATTGATATTTAGGTTTCCATCCCAATTCCCATTTTCCCTGGAAATGGCTGTAGTTTCCATGTGAATTAATGACTGTAGGTTACTATCTTATACCATCTTATCTATCTCAAACTCTTTGAATTGGTACTTGGAAAAGCAGTAGCATCTGCCTGGAAGCTTAAAACTGAAAACATCCTGTTTTTCATTTCAACACATCTGATTCTTCTTTTAGTTCTTCCACGTGCTTGGTGCATTTTAGGGTGTGTACAGCAAATAGGTGAAAGAATGCTGAGCAAACACCTCACTCGGAGACAAGCAGAGGTGACTAATGGGAAATAATAATTCATCAGTCTTGGCCACTCAATTCCCATTGTATTCCCGTTGTTATCCTGGCTGTTGAAGTGGCCCCATGAAGCCATGGCTCCTGCAAATGCTGCCAGTCAGTGACACACAGCAGCTTGTAAGGGAAGAAAGTGGTCTTAGGTGCTTTTAGCAAGTGGAATGGGATGGAAGCTGAGCTTGGGCTGCCCATCAGCAGGCAGAGCAGGAAGGTAGGCATCTTGGATTTTGTTGAGTTGAAAGATCTGTCTTCAGAACACTTAGGGAAATTTTGTAGATTTGCTTCTAGATGGAGCTACTCCAGGGTGGTTGTTCCTTACCAGCTCTGCACATCATCACAATCACAGTAAATGGGGTTTTTTAACACATAATGAACAGTAGAAGAGTACAACACTTATTGCTGCAATAAAGTCAAACCAGCCATAACCTTGTTCTGAAACGTTTTTAAAGCTGGTAGTAAAAAATGAAAAGGAAGATAGGTCTGGTTTTCAGACCAGAAATTGAAAACAAAGAGTGCTACCTGCTGGCCAGATGAGTTCTGTACTTCACACCCTGCTGGTGCTTTTGACTCATAGGATAATTTAGGTTGCAGGTTAGTTGGGAAATACTGGGGCTGCTTTCATCCTGAGTCACGACTTGGGTGTGCCCTCCGCTGGGGCTGGGGCATCCTGCCTTCATCCCAAGGCCTTCCCTGGGGTTCTGATGTAGCCTGGAGTGTTCCTGGGAAACCTCTTGGAGGTAATCCTTCAGTGTGCTCAAGCTGCAGGTCATAATTTCAGGGAGTAACTTCTTGTAAATGCCTCTGCTGTTTTATGGAGAGAAAACACTGAGGAGTATAAGTGATCTGGAGTAACGAGGCAGCTGAGTCCCTGTTGTATTTATTTTTAAACTGCTCATCTGCTGTGAGGGTATTGTGTGCCTGATTCATTTTTATGGATTACGTAGGGGAAAGTTTGATTTATTGTCAATGAAGTGTCAGCTTAATTCTGGCCTGTGTTTTGCTAGCTTGGGGAAAATGAATGCCAATTCCTCAGCTCCTGTAGATTGCTTTCTCTGGTTCAGTCAAATTTCCTGCCACAGCATTCCCAAGTAGGCAAACTGTGCTTAAGTAATGACACGAGCTTGCTGAGCTTGGAATGGTTTGTCAGAAGAAGCCAAAGAATGGCATTAAACTGGAAAATTGCTTTAAAAAACAAAAATTCTTTCTGTGGTATCTGGCAAGTTCAAGTGCCAGGAGAAGCGTGGGTGGTGATTTCTTCTCCTTGCAGTCCTGTATTTCTTTTTTTTCTCTTATGTCCCCTCATACCTGAGAGGTTAAGTTTGCTGCGAGAGTGGATGGGCAGGGATGGCTGTTTCCTGCCCGGTGCTTCCTTGGAAGCTGAGTCCCAAACCAGCTGAAAGTAAGCTGAAAATACTCTGTTTCTGGGGGAAAGCGCAAGGATTCCCTCCATTTCCCCATGTTTATCTGGGTCCGTTTTGCACTGGTCATTTTCCTGGGGAAAGTGAGTATTTTGGAGCATCCTGGACTAAGAAGGAGCCGTGTCATGCTCAGCTTTCCTATGGCCTTTCAATAAGGACTGAAAGAAGTAAAAAATACTTACTCTATCTCATGCCAGCATGCTGTCATGAAGGCAGGTTCATCCCAAACCAATCCTGCTCTTCCATTCCTGTGTTAACCTCACTGGTTATCCCAGACTCCTGCCAGAGGAAAGATGCATTTCAAGCTTCACCACATAATGAGCAGTGACTCAAATATCTGAACTCTTGGAAGGTTTTTTGGTTGGGTTGTTTGTTTTGTTTCAGTGCAAGAGACCCCAAAGATGCTGTGAAGGCCAGGCAGAAGCAGCAGCTGTGGCCCTGCAGGGAATGGTGACAGAGGAGAGGAGCTGTGAGGACAGAGCTGATTGTTGGTGGCTGCATCAGAGCGTGCAGCTTGCTTCTCCTGGTAGAAATGGTTTGTTTTCCATGTCTGAACTGCATGAGGAGCTGAGCACAAGCTGGCCTCTGGGATGGTACAATGCAGGAGTGATGATTTGTAATTTTGATTAAAGTTTATGAAATGTGGATCTGATCTCCTGTACAACCATCAGCCAGGAGCTGAGACAAGCACTCATCTAATGAGGAGGGGAGAACACCCTGGGCTGGTACGGATCCCTAAAGTTACACAAAGTGGTCAGCTGGGATTTTTAAGACCTAGAAGGAAGCCATAGATTCTGGGATTCCAGTCCTTCTGGGAACTCACTCTCTATTCTTCCCTGGTACATCTGCTGAAGAGCTCTTCAGAGCAAGGATGTGAGAGGTAACTCTGGTTGTCTCCTGACCAAGGTGAGGCTCTTTTTTTGGGGAAATAAACAATGCCTGGGCAAGAATCATCTTTGAGCCTGTCATGCCTGGTATGAGACCCCAGGAAAAGAGCCAGGGAGGAGGAAGAAATATATTTACATGTAAGCTTGTGTGCTGAAAGTCACATAAAGGAGAGCTTCCCATACAGTGCCAGGTTGGTGTGGCTGACCAGCTCTGTTAGGAATGCATGTCTCACAGGGAGACTGACTGGCTTGTTGGAGCAGGAGCAGATAGATGAGAACCAAGTCCCTTGATCCTTCCTTCCTGGAACAAAACAGTCCTGGACTTGAACCCCAGCACAAGGCTGTTGTCCCCTGAGAAGTCTCAGGCAGCTCATTGTTTGCTTGCAGATTCCATTTTAGATTCAGAGGGGAAATACTCTGAATACAACAATCAGAAGCTGGATTACAGCTCTGGAGGGGAAAGCTTTCTCCAGCATTTTCTGCTGCCATAATGTGGCATATCACAAGCACAGTTAGCAGGCTTTTCAGTCTTCATAATTAGCCCTTTTATTCATCTGCTGACAATAAAGGAGTCTATGTTATATATTAAGTAGTGGGGGGAAAAAAGCAGATCGTGAGTGAATGTTACCCAAATAATGTGAAAAATCTGACAAGAATATCAAGAGTTGGAAGGAATTGAAAAGATTTTTCCATCAGTGAGAAGCTGCTGGTGTCCCTGAGGAAATCATGGTGGTTTCTAATTGATCTCAACTGTGTTCTTGGCATAATATAATTGCCCTTCTCCTGGAAGCTCGTTTTTAAAATGTTTTTTAGAACTGTAGTCTATAACCTATTGCCTATGGATTTATTTTTGCAAGATAACATGAAGAGCTTAGTAATTGACTGCATATTTATGAAGTGTGGTGATTAGCTGGCTTTGAGAAAATCCATGGAAAGTATGTTTTTGTTAATCAATAGGAATATAATAAGCATTTGATTTTAGATTTGTCTATTGCTGAACAAGAGCAAGAACAAGTTATTCTGTGTTTTTTTCCTTAACATAATTAATTTCTTCTCCATGAAAATGTCCTCCCCAGCCCAAAATGAGAGAAGTAAATGCAGGGAGTATGGTCCTACCCCCTTTTCCCCATTGTGGCAGGCAGTGAGTGTTCTGTAATTTTTCCTTTATATTGAATAATTTTTATTTTTATAGTGCTGTGAAAGTACCATCACATGAATAAAAGTAGCAGTCTGTATTCCTGGTATTGGTGAGTAAATGGTGTCAGTCTGCTCTGAAATAACATTTCTAGTGCTGCTGTGTGCTTAGATACTCTATGGCAGTGCTGCTGTTTATTTGGGGCTCCTGGTAGGTGGCATCAGAATTTGTAGGAGTGAAAAACAGTGGTGGTTAAACATTCCAAGGAAGCTGACTGGGAAACCATTGCAGCTGGCAGTGAGTGGCTGGTGCAGAGCCCTTGGCTGCAGGAGCAAAAGGGAATGTGTAGGGAAAGGTGAGTGGTTGTGCAGGGTCCCAGGTAAATATAAGTGTATTTTGGGACAGATCATGGTGGAAACTCTGGGTTTGTTAAAGAGAAACAAGGAGTGAAGCTCTGGGTGCTCACTGCAATCCAGACTGGCCATGGGGTGTGTCCCGGGAAAGCTTGAGGCAGCCAGGTATCTTCCTGAAATGACTCCTGGATTTCATTGCTACCTCTCTTGAGGAAATCCTTTCAAGCACTTCTGGGAGAATGCTTTTTCAGCCCCTGCTCCTCAGTGAAAGGTGGAAAAGCTCTTTTTTCCTGGTTCAACATGCCTATTAGCCTGTGTTCCTGCAGCTCAGCAACAATAGCCCAGCCAGGAGCTGTTTGTCTTGGGAGCGTGGCACTTAGTGACAGTCCTGTGGCTTTAACATAACACAACACTGCCTTTTGAAAAGCAGAGGTGCAGTAACTGCCATTCTTCCCTTCCCTTGTTCAGCTGGGATTGTCCTCATCCATGCAGTGTTCCCATTGGCTCACCAGCCCACAAAAATGCTCAGTTCCTATTATAGCATCTTGGGGCTTTTTATCTAATTTAAAGAAAGAACCCCAGGCATCAGGTAACAGACCCTCTTTGTTGGTTTTCTTTTATCAGGTTTAAAGGCTTGTGGAAAAGCAGGCAGCTAAGTCCTTAAAAGTGAAAATAAAACTGTACTGGGAAAAGGACAATTTATAGCGTAAAAGTGGATGCATTGAACATAAATGCCTCTTTTTCAGCTTTTGAATTGGCTTCTTCTCTCGGGACCAATGCAAGAGGAATTTCACAGAGGAATTTAAGTGTGCATCTTAATTAATGCAGCAGAGGAGAGGGGACATGGTTGTGCATGGCTGGGAGGGTGACCATGTAAAACACTGGTGGAAACCAATGTGCTTGTGTGTGCAGTACGATTGTGGAATCATCTGGGTTGGAGAAGATTTTAAGATTGAGGTCAAGCATTGGCCCAGCACTGCCAAGGCCATGACTAAACTGTCCCCAAGTGCCATATCTACATGGCTTTTAAATCCCTCCAGGGATGGTGACATCACCACTGCCCTGGGCAGCTGTGCCAGTGCTTGACCACCCTTTTGATGAAGGGATTTTTCCTAATATCCAATCCAAAGCTCCCCTGGCCCAGCCTGAGGCCCTTTCCCCTTGTCCTGTCCCTGTTCCCTGGCAGCACAGCCCGACCCCCCCTGGCTGTCCCCTCCTGGCAGGGAGTTGTGCAGAGCCACAAGGTCCCCCCTGAGCCTCCTTTTCTCCAGGCTGAGCCCCTTTCCAGCTCCCTCAGCCCCTCCTGGGGCTCCAGCCCCTTCCCAGCTCCATTCCCTTCCCTGGCCGTGCTCCAGCCCCTCCATGTCCTTCCTGGATTGGGGACCCAGAGCTGGACACAGCCCTGGAGGTCCCTGAGCAGGGCCAGCCCAGGGGACAGTCCCTGCCCTGGGCCTGTGCCCACACCACTGCTGGGACAGCCCAGGAGCCATTTTTTCCATATTTATTTATTACATGAATAGTTATTGTAATTATTTAGAAACATATGGTATTTATATATAGAAAATGACAGTTATCAGCTCATTTTTCTTGCTGTTCTCTACACAGTCATCCATTCATTTTGGCTCTCTATTGAAACCTCTGTACTTTCCCAGTGTCCAGTTGCAGGAGGTGCCATTAAGACGTACTTTCACTTGCTATTTTTAACCCATGTCCTTTTTCTGGCTTTCCATGAGCACATGTATAATGTCAGGCTGTCAGCGATTTGTCTTTCAGCAGCATTTCCTGGCATGGGAAAAGGAGGTGTCCCTGAGAAATTACTTTATTATGACACATGGACATAAGCTCAGCTTAAGTCACCATCCAGATGGATGGTCGGGGTGAGCTCTGACCACATTAAATGTCTGTAATAAAATAATCACATTTATCAGACCAATCCTACCTCTAAATGCACTAATACTTACTGCATTTATATCCATAACTTGGAAGAGGACAAAATTCAGAAGATTAAAGTCTGAAAAAGTGTATGAATATGCAATTTGCATTGTTATCAGGCCCACAAAATATTGAGAAGGTGCTTTCTAGCTGGAATTTTCACAAGTGCAGAAAGCCCTGTGACAATTGCCTTGACCTCTGAAATTGGTGCCAGAGGAGCTGTAGCTGCTTTGGGTCACAAAGGGCAAGGGGGGTCACCCTGGAGCAATGAATAATTCCATTTTCTGCACAATACCATGAAACTTTCCAGCAGGCAGGAGCGGTTTCATTATCCTCTTTCAAAAGCAGGTGACGCAGCAGGCATGGGGAAGGCTTTATTTTGGTTTTTCCATCTTATTTTCTAATTTAAATTGAAACGGGAGTGTGCTAATTACCATAAACAGTGGCAGAACATACAGGGGACATCACTCTCCAGAAGGTTTTATTTCTCAGAGCACCAAAAATCAGCCTCTCCTCTCCTGAGTTTTACTGGAAATGCTCAACTTGAGTTCTGCTTAATCTCTTCTCAGGATGCATCTTCCTGACTTTGGATTGCAAAGCTCAGATAATTAATCTTCCTGGATTTTTTTGTCATCTTGCTTATATGTACAGTCACTGGTGTTAGATGCAGCCTGCTGGGCTTTGTGGGTTAGAGGAGATCTTTGTGCCTTAACTCAGCTAAGGCTGGGATATTCTTTTCCCCTCTTCAACATAAATAAACATTTTGTGAAGGTATCAGAGACTTTATTGATAAAAACAGTCCTTCTCCCTTCCTTTCTTCATTCCAGCTAAAGAAATCCACTTCTTGCAAATGCATCTGCAACTTATCTCCTTTAAAATCTATTTATTTTTTACTCACATGTGAACAAACTTTGGATTTGCTTGGGGACATCCCATTTAACTAAGGGAACAAGTGGTTTTTTTCCCATTTGCATGCTATTTAAAAGGTGTTGCTAAAAGTACCAAGAGTCACAGGTGAAATGTTTGCCTGGTAATAGAGCAGGGATCTGCTTTGGGAGGGTATTTCAGGCTCTTGAGAGGGGCTGACTGCTGAGCTCTTGCTGGCCCTGCTATAGAAGGAGGTTTTCTTCTCTGATTCCATGAGTTTGTTGGTTTTTTGTGTTCAAAATACAAAGTACAAAATATACAAAACCAAATAAGATTTTCCTCCCATCCTTATGTTTTCTACACACGTTATACTCAGACTGTGCATTTTACTTTCCAGTCCTCTCAAACAGAAAACACAAGAAATAGTTAATTCTATGCCATAAATGTTTTCTTTTCTGTAAGTATTTTTTTCTCTTGCAGACCTGGGCCTGGACCAGTTCATAGTGAAACGCTACGATGGGAAGGTGAGCACATTGGACTGCTAAATGTATTTTATTTAATGGCTTTTTTGACCTAGAATCCTTCAGTTATTACCTGTGTGAGGGTGTAAGTTAAATGAAGTGTGTCAAGTGTTCTCTTCTGAGCATTTTGGTTTTCAGTAGCATTGCAGTGCTTTTTCTGTAATGACAGAAAGATTGTTTTCTATAAAGGGACCTTATTTTAATGTTTACAGACAAAATCTTACCACTTCCTATATGCTGGTGGGCTGGGAAATCATAGGTTGTAATCACATTTCTTTGCTGCTTCTTTCTGACTGTGTGAGAGCCCCACAAGTTAAACCATTTCAGGGGAAACTCACTGTACCTTTCCCTTCCAATCTCACCTCCAGATTCCTAAAGGAAGGAGATGTTGTGGTTTCTTTTCTGTGTCCCACCCATGTATTCCCCCCTACTGAACAGCCTTTCTCTGTTCCCCTTTTGAGCCCAGGTTCTTCCTGCAGCACTGCACAACTGTTCTGGGTGTTTGTGCTGTCATGAGAGGTAAAAATCTTAATTCTGATCTAGTTTTGTCTCCCTGTGAAAGAGGAGCCACGTAGCATCCCATTTGTTGTTATCCACACTGTAAATCCCACTGGGGTGGTAAAGGCAGCTCTGCCCCAGGACTGGCAGCTCAGATGGACTCCTTGATACAGATGACTGTAGGTTAGTTAATTTTCCATCATATCACACAATGGTCCTCCAGCTTTTAGCAGCATTTCCATCTGCACCATGTGAAAATGAAGCTTTCAAAGGGACATCAGCATCTCCCCCCGCTGTTGCTGCAGGGTGCACCTGGCCCAGTGTCAGGCATTTCCAGAAAGCCTCAACACTGGAGAAAAATAGGAATTTAAAGCTTTATATAAACACAATGTATGCTGAACATGTGCAGTTCCCTGGTTTGTGTTTAGCAGGCACAGGTAACAACAAGATGATCAAATACCTGGGGTCCCTGTCATGAGCACTGGGCGGGTGTGCTGGTTACCCAGGCAGCAGAGCAGGGCTTTGCTGGAAAACAGACAACAGGGAGGTGGATTTTGGCAGTTAGCTTTGATACATAAAGCTCCAAAGCGTGTCGTGAACACCTGTTTTCTTTTCTCCCCTGCCACAAACGTGATGTCTGCTTTTTGTGATTAAAAAATACAACCCAACCAAAGGATGTCTATTCTTTGCAAAATACCCAGTGTTTCTCTCTGTGGTTTCATGACAGTGTGTTTTGCATTCCCTCACTTTCATCATTTTATCTTGTCAAGCTATCACCCTCATCCCTTAGGCTTTACATAAACAGGATTTGTTTGGAGGGAAGAAGTGCTGAATCCCACACTTTTTGCTAATAACGCTCTTCTGCTCCCGAGCACTCTGCAGGCAATTCCCAGCACACTGGACAAAAAATCCAAAGGCAAATCCTTTGAACTCAACTTTCTGTTCCTTTGCCCCTCAACACAGAGGGCTCTGACCTGTAGTAGACTGAAATAGCTTTTTATATAACTTACAGATGTTGCTGCTGCACTTGGATGTCTCTGAGCTGATTGCCTGAAAGTGAGGCAGCAGATTGAGGGGACTGCAATGGACTTTGCTTTATTATTATCTTCTCCTGGGACCTGATTTTTCCACAGCTTAATAACACCCTGGAAGCAGTGCACTCTGAAAATTAAGAAATAGAGGTTCTTGTTTGCTTGGCTGTCTGCTTAAAGGTGCCTTGGGACTGGCTACATCTGGCTGTGGCTGTTAGGGCAGTGGTAATGTCCAGGTGAGAGGATAGTTTGAGGAGAGGATAAAATGAGCTGGCCTTGGCTCTCCCTTGGTAATGAAGGAAGCTGACAGTAGATTGATCTGACAGCAGCTTGTTCTCATTTTGTTGCTTGCTTTGGGTTCCAGTTTAAAAAAATGACACTGCTTTTACTCAGCCAAGCACAACTGAGGTGCTGCAGAGCTGACCTCACGCATTCTGAGTTTCACTTGCATAGTGATAAAACCCTTTTGCATCTCTTCCTCCGTGCCTGGTTCCAACCACACATTCCTCTTGGATTATCAAAGCAGCCTCTGCTTGGAGGGGATTTGCCTTTGTGTGCTGGAGGAGCTGCTGAGCTCAGGCAGAAGGGTGAGAGGGTCATCCCTGTTCCCCGAAGCATCCTTATCGATGTTACACAGAGGTGATGGGAATTGTGCTACTCAAAAATAGGCCTGGTCACTGGAAGGTTCTTCTCCTTTTTTTAAGGAAAAAGGAGTTTGTGAACTGTCAGACATAAGCACACTCTGCTGCTGAAAAGCACTGACAATCCAGAAGCCAGATCCTGACTGATGAGTGGGAAAGAGGATTGATTTTAGTTCCAAGCAAAGTTCCAATTGTGAGGTCTACATGCAAGCAGTAGTTTAGAAGGAGATTCAGTTGAAAGGTCTGTGCAGTTAGTTGCATTTTAATGACATATTCCAGGACAGTGTTTGTAGCATCTGTGTGAATTTCAAGCCTGTGTGTTTGAGATGAAGATGCTGCAGCATTAGTGGGATGATGTGTGAGCTGCTCCTTTCACAGAACCCATTTTATTTGGGCAAAGCTGCCATCAAAACAACAAATTGCCTGCTGTGGGGTGATCAGGACTGATCTTGCCAAAGGGTTTTGGGGAGTGATGTGCCTCTGTATTGTGCTTTTGTTGGGTTTCTGAGCCAGCTTGCTGTGCACGTGACTGAATGCTATGGTGAGAAGATAAAATCCACCTTTTTCCCCTCTTCCTGCCCCTCCTTCTTCCTACTGATAATTTATAGAGTTACTGGAGAGGGAGGTAGATGTTACTGCCTTATTAATGGCAATAATGCTCCTGTAATATAAGCCTAAATGCTTTTTCTTCACTCATGCAAGACCAAAAACCCTGGAGACACTCAGCCAGCACAAACCTTTGGTCAGATGTGTGTGCCAGCACAGGCTCATGCTTTTGGGCTGAGTGTGTACAGGGAGGCAACCTGTGGCTCCACCTTTGCCTAAGAGAGGTGGTTTCTTCCCTTGGGAAGCAAGCTCAGCAAAGTAGGGGAAAGAGGCATTGATTACTATTCATTCATAGCAGAAAAAGGGTATTAATCAGCTTGCAGGTATTTCATATGGAGCCTGAGCAAAAGGCTGATGTGAGAACAGACACACTCTCAGGATGTGGAGGTGCCCAGACCATGATTGTCTGTCTGCTGTGTTTCCACTGTCTCTTCTCTCTTGCATTTGGCAGTGGGAAAGCAAATGCATTTTTAACCCATCTGTAGAAGAAATAACTCATGTTTTAGTGATGAATATGCTCTCAGTAAGTAGTAGAGATTTCTTAGCACGTCTAACCTAGCAAAAGCTTCATTAACATTACGTAAGTTGTCTTGCAGAGTTTGTTTAAAATTTTCTTTTCTTGTGCTCTCTCTGTTTATTTTTTTGGCTTATGCATTAATGATTGGCAAGCTTCATCTCTCAAAGAAACAAAGAAACAATGCTGTTCATGTTATTGCTCTGAATTGTGAGCTGCATATCCACCTTGTCACCAGCCTGGTGAGCCAGCATGGGAGCTCCCAGGTGTCCCCCAGCTGAGCTTCCAGCAGTGCAGCCTGGTGGAAAGGTGAAGGTGAGCTGGAGTGCTTTTAAGAGTCCTCTGGCCTGTTTAGGAAAAGGCTCTACTCTAGATGGCTTATTAGTTTAATTAGGATACGCTTGACTTGCTCTTTTTTCTCCTGTGGGGAGAATTCCTTGCTGCTGCTCAATAAGAGCAAGAGCCTTTGAGCTACCAGCGACAGCTTCCCCTCCTGCAGTAAGTAATTAGAGAGAGGCTTTCAGTGCCCTCTAATTAAATTTATGACTTAAGTATTTCCTGCCAGCATTTATGTTTACTTCTCTAGATGTTTGGGCATGCCATAAAGTAATGCCAAGCAAGGTGAAGGACAAGGAAAATACTTCAAATGGTGCCTCTAAATGCCAGTAAAACATCTCTAGAATTCACTTCCTCTGGGTAATGCAGGGTCATACCATGGGCCAATGCAATGAGTATCTTCAGCTGCCCTGACCTGAAGGCGTGTATCCATTAAAGAACACTTGCTGGGAGTCAGCTCAGGAGGCAGATTTCTTTCCAGATGATTTAAAGAGTGTCTCAGGAGCAGAGGAGTTGAAAAAAGTACTCGGGAAGGATCCCCAAGGAGAAGACTGGAGGTACATGCACCATCCTCTTCTGGTGGATTGAAGGATCTTGCTCACAGGTTTGAAAGAGAGGGAAGGAAAGGAGCCTTGATTTATTAACTGGAATTTCTGGCATCCTTTGCTCTGTGGATGGGCTTTGCCTGGAGCATGATGCTCTCACCAGAGTTTGATAAGCTGCCATAGACCCAAACTTGCAGCAAGTGAGACAAACCTAAAATCCTGCTGTCATTCAGGAGCCAAACACTGGGTCAGAGCTCCCTGGAGGCTTAAGTGCCTCTAAAACCTTAATTCCAAAGGATGCAACTCTAAATGCTGCCTTACCAAAAGCCATTATCACAGTTCAGTAAAGAGCAGCATAAAGTGCGGGTGCACTTGGAGGATACTTGGCGTGTTCTGCAGGTTAAATGCAATGAAAACAGGTGAGGAGTCCTCTAAATCCAACTGTGTGAGGTCTTGCCAGCATCTGTTGTGACTGAGTTTGAAATGAATGTGTCCTCAGTGTCCCCAGCTGGAGCTGGTGAGGGTTATGGTTTGTTTGGAGATACCTTGAAGTGTTTAGCCATTCTGGTCCATAATCCATGGGAAATGCCACTGTCCAACTTCAGATTCCCTGCTTTTAAATTCCTGCACCCTCTGATCTCAGCTCTGGAAGTATTTGCATAATAACCAGGAGGCACCTTCTTCCATGGATAATAACCTTACACTGATCTGTGTGAACATTCCTGTGCCATCCCTAAAAGGGTTGTAAGGAAGTGGTGAGACAAAATCCTTGCCTGTGGCTTTGTGGAAGCAAGCAGAGATGCAGTTTATTGCAGATAACCAGCAAAGCTGA